AAACATTAGTTAATGCATTGACTAACAATGAGCAATACTTTTGTCACAGTATTTATTAATCTTTGTTAATGCCATTTAATAAAAATACTAATGTAGTTTGTGTTAGCTCAAGTCCATTAAATAATGTTAACAATACAACTTTTTTAATAATTTATTAGTAAATGTTAAACTTAACATTAACTAGAATTAATAAGTGCTTTTAAAAATATTTTTGTTAGGTCGTGTGAACTATTTTAAGTTAAGCGGATCCTAATTGTAAAGCTTTTATTAATTAATTCACTTATTTTTTAACACAATGTCACTAGCAAGACTATCTTCATGGAAAACAGAATAAATAACAACAGTCATACAATAATAAAAAATAAAAAAAACTAAGATGTTCAAGGTGTCTAATACTAGACAACAAATCTAAAATACATTCAGGTGATACTTTTAAAAAAAAAAGTTAGTTAAACACATTTCTGAATAAAATCGCTGTCTACTTACGTTAAAAACCATACAGTCCAAATGTAAATTGTTACCGAAATGTTTTTTGATCACCAAATAATATTAGAATAATCATGTGACACTGAAGACTAGAGTAATGGTTGCTAAAAAATTCAACTTTTCCATCATAAAAAAAAGTGCTTTTAAAAATATATTAAAATAGAAAACATTTACTTTAAATGGTAAAAATATTTCACTAAATTATTATTTTTACTGTATTTGTGAGACTTTAAAAACATTTAAAAAAAGATCTTACTGACTCTTTATCACTGTATTTACAGTATCTTACCGTGAGTCTGCCTTTGGAGTATCTAATGGCCAGGTATGTGTCATGATCTTGGTTTCTGACTTCCACAGAGCAGCCTCCCAATTCAGTAGACCGGCCGTCTTTCCCGTGGTCGTACGGCAGGGAGCCGTTATTCACCATCGCAGAAATATAGGGAAATGAGCGCTGGAGGACCAAAGATTATGAATTACATTTATTACATTGATTTTTGCCTAATTGCTGACACAAAAAAGCAATGTAAATTACTAAAAGATGGCACATTCCACCCTTATACAGCGGTTCATGAACCAGCTTGTGTAAAACAGAATGATCTAAATTCATAAAAGGTCACTGCATTCTACTAAAATCAAAACAATAAGCACTGTAAATATTTTTTATGAAATGCTTCATCAACAAGTAATGAATGATGAGAGGGTAACAAACAAAACAAAACATGGACCACATGATGTAGGCAAAACAAAGAAAGCATTGATTATTTGTAGTGCTTGGCAAAATTGTTGAAAGAAAAAAAAATAGTTGCTATATGCTGATAATTCAGAACATATAGCAAATAAAAAAAATGAAGGGATAGTTTGAATAAAAGACATTCTTCTCTAGTCAAAGGATTGTTTTTCAGTTTGACATCTGAATGCAAACACCTGGCAAATAATCATATCCAAACTATCCCTTTTACATCATTTGGGGATCAAGCCGATGACCAGAAGCAGAACAAACATGCCAAAAATCCAGTATTCCCATAAATACTAGCATTTTTGGAAATAGATATCTTTGTATCTAATCTCAAGTTCATCCCATAATGATAAAGCAAAGCTTTCGTTCAAATGAAGGTACAAAGACACAAATATTTTACATCTCTCAACTCACATCCGGAGCCTCATCGTTAGGGTATGTGTCTATAAAAATGGCCAACCCAAGGAAACTGGCACTACTGCCAAACACGGTGCCTGCAGAGAAAGAAGGACCCGTGAGTATGGCACACTTACATCCGTTCCTTGTAGATCATTATGGAAGGTATCCACAAAAATAGCCAGGCCTACAAAATGGTCTTGGTTTCCAAAGACTGGGCCTAAATAAAAGTATGACACAATCAACTGCAGGGAAGAAAGAGCAGACTTGCCGGTGGATCGCGTGGACTACACACACATATATAGACAGCATTATAACTCATTACATATCAATTCATGAAATGAACGAGAAAGAGTTCGACGAGATCTAAACCCTCAGTTTTCCCTCACAGACTTACCATGATGTAGCCTCTCTTTCGTGTACCAAATGGCAAAACCATCTCCATGGAGATTCTTCTTTCCTGATCCATGAATTTTAAACTGCACATGCATCTCCCAATCCTTCAAATAGCAGGGCTGCAGAGAGGGAAAATTAACATTACTCAACTTCATTTTGCATTAATAAAGTGCATCACATTAACCATTTTTCTGAGAATTTTCAAAAATGCAGATTTTGCATCGGGTTCAAGTTGCTCACATGAATTCAACTACTTGGTTTGGTAGGCTTCAGTTCAGTTTTACTCACCACTGTATTCCAGACGGACCCCTGTTTGCTCCTCTCATCCGGAGTCAGACGCACATACTGGCTGGTTATTAAAGTACTTCCCGAAAAGTCCCACTGACTTGACGGACTTGTTCCAACACCTGACATATGATACATAAAGGATCATATCACTTTTGCTACATTTACAGTGTATTGGTAATTTGGAGTGAAGCCTATATACACGCTATAAGCCATGAGAACATACGTAGATCAAAATGAGTCTCATCACATACACTGGGGTTCAAAAGTCTTGAGACCACAGTGAAAATTTAGGATTCAAAAATGAATACACTGTAAAAAAGAATAATAAAATTAACTTGCTACAGCAAAATAAAAGTGAATTAGTTCATTGTAAATTATCTTACCATCCACAGTGATTTTCTGTTTGTTTTTGTAAGCAAAAACTATGACTTACCATATCATTTACAATGAAAAAAGCTCCTGTGTGACACATCACATATGATTTTCTTTTTTATTATTATTTAAATAGTTTATTTTTTGTTATCAGCAATGTACATTAGGGGTTTTGCTTTACATATGTTATTTAATTAATATTTATTGCATTATTTTAGTGTCATGTGCTACTCTGATGGTGTTTTGTGTGTATGACCAATACTCCTGAAAGAATTGGCCATTTTGTATTTACAGGACACTTATAATGAACATCACTTAATAAAATATTAAACAGTAGCAGTAGTATAGTAGTAGTAATTTATTTGTACTGCCATGTCAGCATCTACAGCTATCTTCAATGCAAAAACTGAGTTGCAAATAAAATATATACTTATTATAGGTTGTAAAATATACAAGCTGCCTGCAATACTGGAAGCATTATTACAGTAAACTCAGTTTTTAAAGTAAATTAGATATTTTTTACAGTGCACCTGTATATAAACTGAGAGTATTAGGATTAAAAAAAAAATTTTATAATATAAAACGAATACAAAATATTTTGTATCTGGGACACTGCTGTGTGACTTTTTGTCATAAGATACTCTTTAGGTCTTCCTCACATAATGCTGGAGAACAAGATCATCAGGTTTAGCACAAACCTGTGGAGTAAACGTGTCCATGATAATGTCATTTTTCGCTGCTTTTCAGATATTCGGACAGATATTATATGACAATACACATTACACAACAGTCATCAAAGTCTTATCTATGTAATATCTTTTCAATTAAATAGTAAACTGACAAGTTGCATGCTCTCCCCGTGAAGGTGGACTCCTTTATAACCTGCACTTTAAATGCACAATGGCTGACTAGTTTTGTTTACATCGAGTTGTCACTGTTAAGACTCTACAGTAGCCTACTTATATCCCCGGTTACATGTTCCTAATGAAATACATGACCCATGACATTACAATATAACTTGGGTGGCATCCTAATTTACGTAGTGAACAGAAACCTAAGTCGCTTTAGTGACCGTGCGGCTGCAGGACGTCAACAAACACTAGCAGGCGGCTACAGCAGCTAACGTACTCACCCTGATAAGGCTTAATGAGCGAGTGCTCCCGCTTTAAGTGCTCCGCATTCCCGTCCGTTATATCGGAATATACAGAAGAAAAGTGGAGTAGCCATAAAGGTAAGAGTAACGTTATTCTGCGACACGCCGGCATTCTGCGAGTTACACTTGTCTGAGAGTGAAGCCATGAAGCTGGGCTTCTTTCTCGTGCCATGTTTATCGTCTTCCTGCCTCCGCGCCTTCACTTCCGGCTGCGTTTCAAAACCTGGCGAGCTGCCTGCCTAGACAGCATTATTGGGCTTTATCAGCAGCATATGTGTGCATTATAGCCCTTACGAAAATTAACCATGGTTTTGCTACAAATAAAACACAACAAAGCATGGTTATTGTAGTTAAACCATGGCAAGCACAAATTAACCATGGTTTTGCTACAAATAAAACACAACAAAGCATGGTTATTGTAGTTAAACCATGGCAAGCACAAATTAACCCTGGTTTTGCTACAAATAAAACACAACAAAGCATGGTTATTGTAGTTAAACCATGGCAAGCACAGATTAACCCTGGTTTTGCTACAAATAAAACACAACAAAGCATGGTTATTGTAGTTAAACCATGGCAAGCACAAATTAACCATGGTTTTGCTACAAATAAAACACAACAAATCATGGTTATTGTAGTTAAACCATGGCCAGCACAAATTAACCCTGGTTTTGCTACACTAACCATAGTTTAACCATGGTATTTGTAGTAAAACTGTGGTTATACAAGTGGTAAACAATCCGCCGAAACCCATGTTTACTACACTTTTATTATAATAAAACCACTTCGTTTTCATGAGGCAGGAGCTCAATTGGTTTTGAGACCGTTTTTTTTGGTTAATTTATATGTTGAATACTAAAATGTCACATATACACATTCATGGGAGACATTTTAAATGATTTTGTAACTTATTTTTGTTGAAAATGTCACAAATTATCAGTTGAACTGAATAAGTACCTGTGAAAATATCTATATAAATATCTGACTATGTATATATATATATATATGGTAAAAGTACCTTTATTTGTTTTCACAAAAAGGTAAAATGCAGATGCAGTAAACCGTTTAATCCATGCAAAGCATTTTTTTAAAAGTTGAAACTAAAAAAAGATTTTTAAAAAATTACAACAAAAAAAAAAAACTAAATTAATATGAAAAACATCAGAGCACAAGCATTTTCTTGGCAGTTTAATTTGAAAACAAACTTTACAGTCATTAAAGCCAAGGCACCTATTACTTCACTTACATGCATGTTTAACCAGTTCAACATCAGCGATCAGGGCTTGCTCAAGAACCTTGTCCTTATTCTGGCAAATGTCACATAATGCAAATATACAATAAATGCACTTGAAAAAAAAAGAATATATGCCATATTTATAACAAACATTAAAAATGCACAGCATCCTTTTGGCAAATACATCCATCATAAATAAGTTATCAGTAGGCAGGAATGCTGCAGGGTTTTGAGTTTTTGGTGTCTGATGTTTTTATTTTTTGAATCATAGTGCATAGCAACATAACAAATAAAGAGCGTGGTATATTATGTAAGCTTTTTTCCGCTGCAGTGCTCCGCGTGAACATCAGTGAGGGTTTGAGCGTATTCTGAATGCCAGTCCCTCTGGAAAATCTCCTGCATCTGGCTCTGAATGGTTTTCTGGCCCTGCCCTACTGCAGAACCCGTCTGATTCACCACAAGCCCAACCCCTGCCGTCTGGGTGAAGTAATTCTCAGACCAGTTGGAAGTTCCTGTAAAACACAATATAACAATCAGTCATCATAGTAGGATTACGAAACTGAGATTCGATTTATTCCAAAACTCATATTCACAGCAATTCAATTGTAAATGTAAACATTGACTGTTTCTGTTGGCAGGTTTTTTACGATGCAGCGCCAAACCTGCCGTCAGGTTGCTGGAATATGGAAAAGCATGCAAGTGAGATCATGCTGTGAAATTTGTACATGTCGAGAGGAAACAGTGAACATACCGATGTAAACAACTCGATCAGTCACCATGTACTTGGCATGGTTAACACGTGCAAACGGGATCCTCTGCTGCTCTCGTGTTGAAGGCACCTCAAAAACTTTCTGTGAAATGAAACGTTTTAAACATTAAATCACCAGTGATGGCTGGATGAAAAACAATACACGTAGAAGATGTAAAGAGCACACAAAAACATACAGCATGAATGCTGCAGCTCAGAGGGGGCTTGTTGAGGACCGATAAAGACTGGAGGAAAACAAACATGGCACCAGGAGAATGACTCCAACAACTGACCAACAGCTTCACCTCAACACCTCTCGTGCAAGCTGCCTCACGGAGGGCCGAGTCGATGACAGGCCAAAACCTAAAGACATCAGTCAATAAAACATCACAATAATCTTCCACATGCCTTATAAACGAACTACATGCAAATGTACTGAATTTTTAAAATGACCCCCAGTGGTTATTTAGTATCACTGAAATACTTCTATATATTTTTTTTAAATAATTTTTCATATTTTTGTTTTTGCTTTTTTATTTTTTACATTTAGTGAATCGTTTTAGTCATTTAAATTTTTTTTGTTAATTTTTGAAAATGTCTATATACTGTAGTTTTTATTCTTTTTTATTTCCATTTTATTTATCTTAGTACATGAAAGCATAGTAAATCATTGAAAACATATACACGTGCACAATAATATTTCACATGCTGTTTAAACTAGTCAAATAAAATAAGGCTTTATTTTTGTATTTTCTATTTTTAGTTTAATTTCAGTGAATTTTTTTTGTCACTTTGTGACAACACACTCTTGTGTGTTTTGTCTATTTTTTAAATGTCTATATAATTTAATTCATTTTTGATTAAGTTTTAGTTATTTTAGTACATCAAAAAAAAAAAAGCTTCTTTGGCAACTAGTTGAAATAAAATAAATTCAACATTTAATTTTTTATTTTATTTTAGTAACTAAAATAAAGTACAAAAGTAAAAGTTTTTTTAATGCTTTTCGTTTTAGTTAACTATAATAACCCTGACTCAATATCAAATGGTAAAGATTACCGAATGGGCTCCGTGAACTGGGACATGGGAAGGTAGTCCATCACAGACACATATATGAACCGCTCAGCATCAGCAATTACTGACAGGATGCTTGAGAGATCGTCAGAACGGCCATGTGATGATAAAGGAGGAGGAGAACTCTACAAGAACAAGTCAAACACTGTCATGTAATATTTAAAACACATTTCTGCACACACTAAAAACGCATGTGTCACATTTAGAAATGAATGAAAATGAAGATGGTATAGGCCATATATATTGTCCATGCAATGTTTTTCTGCAGTGAAAAAGGTGGTAATATGACAAAAAGACAACATTTCTACACAATACATTAAATGAAAAATAGACACATGGAATACATGAAAATAAGCCAGGACAAAAGCCAGAGAACAAGTGGAAATGTGAACAGGTTGAATAAAATTATTACAAAACATGCAGTGAAAACATATTATGAATGTGGTAAACAAAAACCAGACCAAACTAATGAAGTCAACTTGTGAGAGAATCACAACTCACAGACAAATAGACACGTGCAGGGACACCGTTGAATTTAACAGCTAATGGGTACTTAGAACTGGAGAGGGCGGAGAAACGGCCCGGCCAGAAAGGAGGTAGAGATCCATTCTTCTGAGCTCCAACGTCCCAGTACACGTCAAATATCCGTGAGGCGTCCTGTGCTAGACAGCTGCAGTCTTCCACAGACACTCCAACTTCTTTCACCTATTAGAACAATTTATATTATTGCATATGCATGCATATTTAAAAAAAAAAAGATTATTTGGGCATAGGTGGAGTTTAGGGGGGGCCAGACGAGTGCCAATAATGATTTTGTCTGGGCTATGAATAAAATATAAAAATGAAAGAATTCACATTTTCTCATTTTATTTGTGTTATCTTATTATTTTAATGGTTAGAATAAGTATGTTTTGGGCTAAATTAATTATTTAAGCCCCATATCCTCAACTTGAGAGGACATGAGAGGACTCTCTTTTCACTATTTTCCCACTTAAGCAAGTTAACAAATATTCGTTGTTGTTTTTATAAACCTGCTAATAAAAATGTGGTGGACTGAGTCATTTCTGGCTGAATTGGACAGGTGATTTGAAGCGATGGCCTTGAGTGTGGCGTGTGATGCAGTATTCAGTTTCAGCATGTACGCAAGCCTTAAGATTCACCCTCGGCTTGTGACAGCTGAAGTGGAGCTTGTGAAATGTGCGATCGCATCGCGATTACTCTTGAGAAACTTAAAGATGAAGTAGGCTACGGAAGGACAGATATCCAAACTTTTTCAGACTACTGCAGTTTGCACTCTCGCTGCCCGTTGGTTCGGCTACATCAGAAAGTTTCTCAGTTATGAGGAGAATCTGGCTCCGATCTTCAGTGGCACAGGACAGATTCTCAGATCTTTCTTTACTGCACATAGAGAACGATTTGACTGAAAAACGATCAGAAGAGAAGAGATAGTGAAAGAAAGACAGTGGTCATCTACGGAATTCGGAAAAAGAGGCGGCTTTTCTGCATTAGGTATGTTTTTCTGGTTTTTTTTAATGTATTTTTAATGTCGAATATATGTCATATAAATATATGAAATGTAGAACATATAAAAAAGTGTTCGTGGCTCATCTGCCAGTGGGTGCCCCCCCAAGCATAAAAGTGAAACTCCGCCTATGCATTTGGGTTAATAGCCATTTTGACATTACAGTCTAATAAATTGCACTGGATAATGAATAAAAAATAAATAAAATAAATAATTCAAATTAAATAAAAATAAAATAATATAATTAATAACAAATAAAATAAAATCACAAACACATTTACATGTCAAAGACCTGCATGCACACTTGCATATTTGCATGTCAACAGACAACTTTTGTCCAGTCAGATAATGACACACAATGTCTCTTGATTTAGACGTACCTGGGTAAGGGAACGCCAATCCATGTTTGCGCTCCCTAAATACATGTGTTTCTTATCCACAACCCATAGTTTGGTGTGCAAAATGCCTCCAGTGATGCTCTGCAGGTCAACTCCCCTGACCTTAGCCCCTGAGAGAAAGCACAAAGCAAGAAAGCTAAAGGAAAAAAGCTGCATAACATCCAATCCAAACCATTCACCATTCTCAATGCATACATTTTCACGTGCTGCATGTGCAATAGGCACGCTGTTGTACCTGTTGCAACCAGTTCGTCTGTGTCTGCGATGTACGGCTGAGGGGCGTTTACAGCGATCTTCAACCTCACTCCTTTTGGTTCAAGCTGCTTCAGCTGGTTGAACACTTTTTTGCCCTATAGAAAAAATTTTAATGAAACGCCTTATATAATGCAAATGTATATTATCCTGCAGGTAACAAATGTTCTAGAGCCTTCAGAGTGCGTCCACAATACAACGTACCAGCACAGACGAGGGCTCCGTAAGGCCTAAATCTGAATCTCGGAGTGTGAAATAGAAAGCACCAATGTGGACAGAGCGGTTTGCTTTGTTTAGTAGATTAGTCCAAGTGTCTGAAAGGCTCTGCAGGTGTGGCGAGCCGGAAGGGAAGCTGAGGCCCTCAGGGACACTCTCAACAATAGTAAGCCTGATAAGGAGCGTTTAGAAACACATTAACATCTCAAACTCGCCATTTAAATACTTCAAAATATGAAAAGGACCCGTTTCCTCACCTACAGTCAGAAGTGCATGTCTCTTGAGGCATCCAGAAACTTTCCAACCAGTGCAGCTCCAGTTGTGACATCAGGTGTGACACAGATTTAGGGACTCCATACTGCCAGACGTGCGATGCAAGTCCACCCAAAAGGAGGAGAATGGTGGGCAGGAGACAGTAAAGGGAAAAGCTCCTTCCTTTTGTCTGCTAAAACAATAGAAAATCAGTGATAATAAATTAAAGACTTTCTTTTTACTCATGCAAACATCTTTCCAACAACATATACTGTATGTATATGTCTGTTAGTGATGAAATGACTGTTTAATTTCACATATCCTCTTCTGTTGAAATTCTGTTGTGATTTGATGGCGAAACAAATACTTGTCAAGGCAACTAGTCTCAAAAATTTGTATACGTATGCAAATCAAAGAAGACAAATCAGTTCAGAGAAAAACATTCTGGTCTGTATATATGGCTTGTACTGCAGTATTTTTCTTTCTTACTTATTAGTTTTGTCCAATAAAAATATCAAAGCAAGCAAAATGACTCAAAATATTTTTCTTCTGAAAAATGTATTAAAATTATGAAAGTTTATGCCTAAATCAAGAAAAATACCTTGGGTATGATGGGGTAAAAAATTACTTTATTCAAAGGGAAAACAAGATTATCGCTTGTTTCAAGCAAAAATAAATAAATAAAGATAAATTAACATTTTATTTTGATCAAATTTAGTCAGAAAACAAGACGTATTATGTCATGCAATTTTGTTTCTCAAGTAAATGTATCTTTTAGATATTTGTACTGGAAATCAAGATAAATAATCAGTAAGAAAATAATTTTTTGCAGTGCGATTCCTTTTTTTAAGGTAAACGCAAGGGATTTTTTAAAATCCATTTTATTGTCCACCAGGAAAAAATTGTATGTCTGTTCACTTAAAACAGTAATAACACGTCTCTCCTCGACAAACCAGTGCTTGATGAAGTTTACTATTTAGGATTAGAGGTGTGCTAAAATCCCTAACCCTTAGTACGGACAATAATAGTACTCTTGCTTTAGCAAACACCATTCATTTTGTACATTGCATGTTACGAAATATGGTTCACCTCACCTTGGAGGGTGTACACGTTTTGGTCTCGGCATGTTTTGTCTGAGTAGTACTGGCAGTTTGGCTTCCCTGTTGTGTTTCTTTAAAGCATTTTTTACTATCTGAAGGTTTCTGGATCTTAGCAGTTTCATCTTGACCACTAAGTATGGATCCATCATCCTTATCAGGAACACATTCCACACATTTCACATCATTCCCTGTGACGCTATTTTCTTCTGTCCAATGTGATTGGGCTACACTTCCATTATCATTATCATCTCTCAAAGTATCTTCTTCACAAGCTTGATCAGATGCCTCATGCTGATCAACAGAGGAGCATGAGCTCAGATCCTCTACGGTGGCATCCTGCGCCGACATCTGCTCATCTTCTGAGATGGTCTCTCCGCTTGCGGTTTCAAATTCAGAAACGGGCTCTACGACAAGATCAGAGGTCTCATAGGCATTCCTGAGTGGGGGTCGCTTTAGTGACATATCTACCTGATCAGAGTCTTTTGTAATCTCAGGCGTTTGATCAAGAGATTGATTTATTTTCGGTGCCAAAAGAGTGGAGGCGTGACCCGAGATATCCCCTTGAGAGAGAACATCAGCAAGGCTTGTGTGTAAACGAGCCGAAGGGACAGGCAGTGATCCTGACATTTTCACTCTTCCAGCCTCTGTAGAGCCAGCTCTCTCTTTTTGGCTCTGCTGGATAGATCCATCCGTCTTCGGTGATGACTCTGCATTCTGGACGGTGACTCGCTTGCGGCCCAGGGAGCTTTGAAAGGTAGGGATGCGGGACAACGGTGGTCTCCCTGCTTTGCGGTGTTCCTCTCCATCCTCCTTCCTCTCGAATGCTGCTTTCTCATTCTCTTCCTCGCCTATCAAATGTTCTGCTGATCTGAAATGTACATCCTCTGGTTCCTATAGCATTAGTTGAATGCAAAAACATTATATAATGGGTGTATACACATGTAATGTATATGTAATTTATGCATAATCTTTACACTTTGGTACAAAGAGTGTATTTAAGGTGCAACGTCTGTAGATAGATAGTATATATA